CGTTGTAATGGCACACACAGCTTGTGCTGGTTTTAATTAGCTTTGTCTTTTTTATATTTCAAGGCACAGTATAGAAGTCTTTACATTTAAATGTGACATAACTACAAATGATGCGCACCTGCTTAGAACCAAAAATCATTCAAAGTTGAGGGAAAAAATCCTTTGCAGATCTCATAGTGGGTTGAATTCATTCATGCAGAAGGCAGAAATTGTCTCAGATGCAGTGGTGTGAATACCGAATGAACCCCAGAAAAATAAAAGTTAAGGCTCCAGATTTTCAGCAGTGTAGCTGGGATGTTGTCTATTCCAGAATGTCACATGGTTAACTCTGCAAAATGTGTCTGAGCTGTTTAAATTACTGACTTCATCTGCTGGAAAAAGAAAAAGTAGTAAATGGGCATTCAAGAGGTGAGAACTTTGCTGTAGGATTAAGTGATGTTATCACTGATTTTCATAGAAGAACTGACTGGAAGAAGATGTAGAGCAAGTCTTTATGGTGCAACTTTGCTTTTCATCACACTACAAAGACTTCTTACCGTGCAGGCAGTAATCATAATCCCTTTTCGTGCACGTGTTTACTTTTGGCAAATAAACTGCTGTTGATGCAGACAGCCTTCTCACTGGTCAAGGGTTATGTCTCAATGGAGCATAACAATGAAAAGATAAATAACTTGCTGGAATACTTTGTGGCCCTGCATGTTTTCTGTCTTTTCAGAATTAGTGATTTTATGTAACACCTGGCTCCTAGATGGCATACCATGCAAACTGTGCCTGGTGGTGCCCACCTCACGTCCATCTCCACCGGTGGAGTCCACCTCCTCTTTGAGGAGCAGTGGCACTGTCTCAGTATGAAAAATTCCAGGGGGGGGGAAGGGGGTTGGAAACACAAAACCAAGAAGTGCTAGCATTCTTTCCTTGCCTTTGTTTTGTTTCATTTCTTAATCTGCTGGGGGCAGCACAGATGAAGCGAGCCTTTTTGGGCAAGGCCATTGGAGTGAGGAGAGGGGAAATGGATTTGTGGGCCAGGGCTGAGGGAATGCTGCATGCAAGGGCAGGGGCAATGTTTTGAAGATGGTACTGAGTCATTTGGACAATAAAGCAGTGAGTTTAGTTTAGGCTGAGGTAGGACCGTTCTGAATGAAAGCCAGATGATTAAATGGGATATGGTGAAAAGCAATGAGCTGCCAAGGAACCTCAGAAAGAGCATTGCCAGAGGAGTAAAGGTGCTATTGTGGAACTAGTATTTAGTCACAGTAATAATACTGTGTATTTGCACACTGCCTTGCTGCAAGCATACGCTTTGCCATCAGCCTTTCCCTTCCAGATATTTAGATGCTTCATCTTAGAGAAATGTGTGTTGTTGACTTTTGCGGGAGGTTTTTGCTATTCAGACTGCTGGAGCATTATGCCAATATTTTTCCTTCGAGAACTGGTGGGGGGAATGATCAATCTGCCTTCCAAGCACGATGAGAAACGGTAAGGCCGTTAGCATACGTGCTACAGGAACCCTAGAAGGGCAGCGTGCCCCAGCAGAGCATCCTGTTTTCCACGTGCATGGCAACCTCCGAGTGGAGAGCAGAGCGCCAGCTCTCTCGGAGCTCTCTGAGGAGTTACTGCAAATCCGGGTCCAAGTCACGCAGTTGTTACACCCTGGAACAGGCCGTAGATTAGATGCAAAGGTGCTTCGTTTTTAATTCTTTTTTTTTTTTTTTTTTTTTTTTTCCCCCTTAAAAATTATTTGCAATTGCCGCGCGCTTCCCCGCCGGCGCGGGTTGCCGTTCCTACACCTGACGCGCAGCTGAGGGCCAGGGACTCCTGCCTGGCGTGGGAATGGCTTCACAAAGCCACCGTCCTCTGCCTTGCAGTACTTAATTAAAATACCTCATCTAGGAGATGTTTATTATGGCAGCGCCAACCTGTGTGTTGTGCGTTTTGTTTTTCCTCTTCCCCCCCCCCCGCCGATGTGTCGCACGCAGTCAGTGAGGCACCACATGGGTTGCTGCTCTCAGACACTGACAACTGAGGAAATTAAATTCTGAGGCAGAATTGGTTAAAAGCCTGACTAAATCAGTGTTGTTTTTCTATGGCAACTGAAACAACATAATTATTTAAAGGATAAATTTTTATTGCTAATGAATTTTTTTTTTCAAGACAGTAAGTTTTTTTGCATTTTGTTTATACCAGGACACTCTTAAATACATTTTGGGATTTTAAAATTTTTATTCTATTTTTTAAAGGGAGTACAAGCAATTGAGTTCAGTAGAACACTTGGATAAAAGCAGTGATAGACCGCAGTTCCAGCTTTGTATAAAGTAAAATGCCTTTCAGGTACTTGGCACCATTATTACAGTTTTGTGTGAGAAGAAATATATATTTATAGGGTTATTTATACTTGAAAAAGCTCATCATATTTGTAAAATCATAGTGACAAGTCTGGATTTAAAAACTTAAGACAATGGAGCATTTGTTTATACTGTTCAATGCTTTTGTCTATACTAGACAAAAATACTGCATTTTTGTTCAGGTAAGCTAATTAAAAAAAAAACAAACAAACAAAACAAACAAAAAAAAAAAAACAACACACCCCAAAAAAAAAAAAAAAAAACAGTAAGGATGGTCTGACCTCACAGATGCTTACGCACACATTCTGGTTTCTTCTGTCTCTCTTCTTCAGTGTGTCTACCTGTAAGTGAAGCGTGGGCAACAGTTGTTACAGAACTGGGTCTAACTGTATGAAGTTATTAGAAAACTTACAAGGCTGCCCTGCAAATACAGGAAGACCTATGGAAATGCATAACTGCGGTGCTTGCATCTTCTCCCTACTGTTCTGTGTATCTTTTCCCTTACATACCATGTTGCATATTAAGTTTTATAGAGCACTGATTGTTGTTTTATAAAAGCATGTTCCTTGTTATCACTAAAAGTAGTGATGTCGTACAGTCTCAAATGATGTTTTCTTTGGGAGAACAAAATCCTATTTGGGAGGAAATCACCCCCTCTTAAGGGAGCTTACAAGGGGGGTGATTATACCGGCAGAAATTGTTGGTATATCAGTGTTTAGAACGGTTGTATATTTTCTCATCCTGGGAGTGCATACGTGTATTTACAATAGGGTTTTCTGTTGCATTTTTTTTTTTTTTAAACCCACTGAGCTAAAAAGTTTGAAAGGAACAGCTTGAGGAATTTTTTCCATCAAGATACAATCAAGGGCAGGAAATCGTAGAAGCAGAGTTGTGGTTTTGCCTCCATTTTTTTATTAGTTAATTAAACTATAACAACTCTTAACTTCGTTTTAGGTTAACTGTTCCTAGAGTTCAGGCATATTTTAAGAGGTCAATAATGCTTTCTTTGGCTTTCGCTCATTCGGTGTGGGATAAGGAGTGGCAGGCAGCAGGGCAGAGTTTTCCAGATGTGCTGCAGAGCATGTGTGCGTGCACTCATGTCGACAGTTGTTGACGGTGGGAAACCATCCATCTTTCCTCATCTGCGCACCACCCTGTACGGATGAAAACCACAGGAAAGAAACGTGGATGGCCTGACATCTGTAAGCGAACTTGCAGTATCTGATTAAAGCTCAGGAGCTCTGAGTACTTGCAGCTACCAGTTGACATGCGTTTTTACGGAGTGAGTGATGGAGAGATGCCGAGACTGGGGCAGGGGGAATCCAAAGGGAAAAAGTGGAGACAATAGGTGTGTATTTCATTTCACTGAAAGCAAAAAAAAAAAAAAAAAAAAAATCACACAAAGCAGGAAAAAACACACCGAAGACCCCATTGTACATTGCAGCATGGTTTTTTTCTGGGATGTTTCTTTTTTAAAGTACTTTGAGGCATCTGTCTGCGTTTTCTTCTCGGCGTGTAGAGCCGCTTAGAGGCGTGCACTTAGAGGGCATATGAGGGAAGCGAATAGAGCCATGCAAGTGTCACATAACTGTCTTTAATAACGGGAGCTGTTCCAGCACTTGGAGCCAAATTGTCTTTCAGCAGAGAGGATAAAATTTAGCAGAGCTGGAAAAGGGAAAGAAGAAAGGGGAGGGGAAACACAGCACCACCTCCTGCTGACACCACAGAAGTTTCCCTCAGCTTTCCCTCTCTCTCCCTCTGTGCATATATTTTCTTTTTAATCAGCTGGGGCTCTTCCCTCCCCTGCCTTTTTTTTTTTTTTTCCCTTTTTTTTTTTTTTTTTAAACTGTATTTTTATAGTTGGAATTCTGCTTTCCTAATTTCTCTTGTTTCACATTTAACTTCTTCAGAGGATTTCATTAATAGTTATTGCAATTAAAAATAATAAATAAACTCAGCACCAGCTGCTCAAATAGCTGTCGTAGCATATCTGGAACATAATGCAGTCTGTTCAGGGCAGCCACACAATGCAATTTATCCCCACACCTGAGGGAATGAATTTCACAACTATAATTGCTACAATATAATTCTTATTAATGTTGTGCTATAATTCCTATTAATTCCAAAGGGCTAGTAAATGCATTAGGACTTGTCAACATATTATTTTACACTGTTTATGATCTGTAGAATTACGCTCTTCAGTATTGTATTGCATAAAGAAAAGCCTTAAAATTAGCTTTAATTGCAGGGGGCAGGGGGAAAACACATTTTCTGTTCAGGCACTGGGAAAGACAGAAGGATCCTGGTGTTTGAGGAGTAATGAAACTGCATTTTAAAATCAGTCCTTTGAACTTTCTGTGCCACGCAGTTAACAGTTTATGAAGATATATTAATAATGCCTGTCCTGGTTGTTAGGAAAAAACAAACAAACAAACAAACAAACAAACAAAAAAAAAACACAACAAAACAGTGCTGTCTTTATGAAGGAATAAATAACTGTAAGAAAGATAGGTTTATAAAATTAAAAATAACTGTCTTCCAGCAAAGACAGAAGTGGGGAAATTACAAGTCATTGTAACTGATGTAATAAATGCAGAACGTGTTATCTTGCTGTGCTCTTATTTATTCTTGTTTTATCTCACTACCCTGCTTTTCTAGGGAGTGAATATGATGAGGAGGAAGTAGACTATGAAGAATCAGACAGTGATGAGTCCTGGACTACAGAAAGTGCTATCAGCTCTGAAGCTATCCTTAGTTCAATGTGCATGAATGGAGGGGATGAAAAACCTTTTGCCTGTCCTGTTCCTGGATGTAAAAAAAGATATAAGGTAAGCCATAGTGCAGACCTACCTTATTTCCTGCTGATGGGGGGGGGGGAGCAGGGGGGAAGCCTCTAAAATCAGTTTGCACCTTTCTTGTTTAATAGACTACACGTTTATTTTTGTGGCATTTTAGCAGAGTACATATTTTATTCACTAGTTTCCTCTCCAGCAGAGCCAAGTTACCAATTTTAAAAACGATCTAGCCTTTTGCATCCCTGCCTGTCAGGAGAGATCAGGTATAGTTACTCTTTTGCTTTATACATTTTAACTAGCTTTCGATTATTTAGACAAATTAACTGCAGAATGCAGGAGGTACTACCAGCAAAATAATCTCTCGAGTCCCGTTCAGAGGCACTAAAAAGCCGCTGTCCATCAGTGCCGGGTGAATCCCTTCTGCTTAACTGCTAGAGCTACTGCCTGTCCTTTAGCAAAACTGTGCCCGGGGTACTTTTCCTGCTAAAGGGGATGTGCGGAGGGCGGTGGTTAACGTTTTGCCAGTCAGAGGTCACCTCGGGAAGGCAGAGCCTGCGAGAAATTCTGGCACCATTGTGTCCTGGGTCTGAGTCCCCCTGAGCCATCCACACATCTTGTCAGCGCGTCTGGCCCCACGTGCAGGGCTTGCACCCCTCTGCATGACATGCTGGGAAGTAATTCCCCCACACACCCCCACCCCTTTCATTACTCTCCATCACGAGGGATTTTTGTCTGTGGGAGTGAAACATCTTCAACTTTGAACCTTGAACTGGCTGGTGCAGAACGTGCTATGATGTTGTGAGGAGTACTGCTGCATGTGAATTGGTGCAGAGACAGATGAAAGTGTATTGAACAGCTTGAACTTCTGTGTGGTGTTCTATAGTCACTGACATTGGGGAACCGAAATAGCGTGTTGCGCAGTTCCTCTAAATCTTTTTCTGAATTTTTTTGCATGAAGTACTGGAAAATTCAACCGCTGACCTATACCTTAGAAAAAGCAGTGGTGGTTGGGTCGGGTTTACACTGGTTTTATTTTATGGCTTCTCCTTTAAATAACTGGAAAATAGGGACTTAGAGGAACGCAGAAGTGCGAAGGAGAGCTATAGGAAGACCAGTAGCATTTGAGATAAAACAGTTGTGACAAGAATGAATAAACTGTGCGTGACACTGTGTAGTGGAGGAAAACGTGTTCCAGTGATGCCGCAGCTGCTCTGGGCTGCAGCGGCTCCCAGAGCTGCAAATCACAAGGCTTAGATCCCCATGCAGGTCAGTTAATACTGACAGTACTTACTTAAAACACGAGCAAGGAAGCAGTGCTCTTGTTTCGCAGTGACACACAGGTCTTTTTTTTTTGCAGAGGTTGGCCTCAACTACATAAGGGCTGTTCCCCTCTTCAGTTTACCGAAAAAACTGACCACCTCCTCCAGGGGCAGGGCAGAGGGAAAGACGTTTTCAGACCATTTGCAACTGTTACTTTGCAGATATACCCACGTTGTTCAAGATTAATGCTTTCCTTGCGTGTGGTGGAAGTTATGCCAGATGAAGGATATAATATAAAAGCTAAATCCCTAGCTCAGGAAGCAGACAAGCCGTGGTGATTGTTAGAAGTCACTGTGCCCACAGGGCATCCATGCATTGCAGAAAACATTCACTTAATGGCAAAGGCTGGAAGGAGAACCCTGTAATTTGCTGTATCCTGTCTGTTCTCTGTTTGACTGCCAGCCCTCTGTCTTTTTATTGCCCAAATAGGCAAGCTGTTTCTGCCTGCTTCTGCTATCTCACTACCTTCATCTCAAATGCATGAGGACTGTCTGAGGGGGGATAGCTTATACACCATTAATGTTGGGACACTCGGACAGGGAACAAATCGGCGATCCTTACAGAGGCTGACAGAGAGCAGCAGCAAATAAAAAGTACCATATTTTCCTAAGATACTCACCTCTGTTTAGTCCTGATAGGAAAACACATTTCCTTAAACTCTGCCTCACCTCATTTCTCTTTTCTGTGGGCTCTGTTTCCTCCCTTTTTTCTTTTCAGCCTACATTTTTTTTTGCTTCTTACATTTTTATCTTGGTTTCCTTCCTTTTAGCCTTGTGTCAGCTGTGTTTCTTGTTTCCTCTTCATCTTCCTTCTGCTTAACCCCCTTCACTGATGAATTATTTGTGGAGTCTGGGTAGGGAGTCCTGTGATCAAAGCACTGGGATTTTCTGGTGGGCACTGGATAATCACAGTCAGGGCTGTAAAACAATTATAGAGCTCCAAACAGGAACACGGACATGCACATACAGTAATTGCCAGGCTCACTTTACGGCTGAGAAAGGATGCATTCCTTTAGGGAGAGAGGAGGAAAGGAGGATATACACAGTTTTCTTTTGTCTGGCCTTAGGTGACGTACGTTTGAGAAGCAGAAACATTATTTTTAGATAGGTTATTTGTATTACAGCACTGCTTAAAAGACCCAGTTGGGATGGGGCTCCTTTTTGCAAACAATGTACAAGGATAAAAGATGGCCTCTGCACTGAAAAGTCATTACGGGAAGGTAAATAAGACAAGAATGAGTACAACAAATACTCCCAAGGAATGGGCTGGGGCAGACAATGAAAACTAATGAGAACATGTTTATACACCAGCCCAGATGAGTATCAGAAGACCCTCCTGGCCTCCTGCCCAGCTGCTATCTCTTGGCAGTTTCCCATAGGCGGTGCAGTAGAAATGAGTCATAAACGTTCAGTTGTTCTTCAGGAACTTTATTTTTTTAAGAAATAAAATTGCTTGCCTGGACCATGTTATCGGTACTAAGCCCTCTGTATGGTATGAGATTTTCTTGAGAAGCTGAAGTTTTGGGGGGAAAAGAGTGCTTTTTAAATGATTTGTAAATTTGTTTGTGGGATAGTCAGAAACACCTAAATGAATCTGGAGCACACTGACTTCTAATTGCTTAAAACACGAGCCTCTGAACCAGTTTCTGAAGCTTCCTTTCTTTTTATCTAATTACGGTTACTGACCTAGAGAACAAATTATTATTATTTTATAGTTTGCCGTCTATGGATCGCTTTTTGTTCGTATGATTTGTATTTGATGCCTGAAATTTGACTTTGAAAAAATCATCTGTGTGATTTGAAGGAACCCAAAGACCTTGGTTCTGTTTCTTTGGAGTTCACCCTCACCAAAGTTTGGCTTTACATCCACATGTAGAAGACCTGTCCAGAAGCCTCTGCATATTGAGTTGTTAACGTGCTTTGCAAAATGCCACCTGTAGGAGCTGAAGTGTGGATTTATGAATCTGGCAGTTTTGGTGTTTTATTCAATACCACCTGTGTGTGTCAGTTATTTGGTCTTTAGCTCTGGAGAAGGACATGCAAAACGTGTACATGTAGATAAACATATTTGGGCAACTTCCAAATAGCAGATGAAGTTTGATACATAATAGATATTAAAAAAAAAAAAACAAAAAAAAAAAAAACAAAAAACTTATAGATACTGCATATATACTGTTATAGAGAAAAACACTAGAGTATTTGTCACAATTTTTCTCGTTTGTGCAACTACAATAGGACAAAAATAATAGATTGCTGGACATATCAAATGTAGCTGATATGCGTGACTGCCTTTTGGTCTTGGGCAAGAGGAGAAGTGGTACATTCCAAGAATGCCAAGATTGGGCTTGTCTTTCTGGCAGGTAATGGGACAAGGGTCCTGTCGGGTGGGCAAACCCCTGGGAAGGCTGATCTAAGGGCAGTGACACTCAGCAGAGCTTTGGGAAGGAGAATATTGACGTGAGAGAGGGAGGGGAGAGAATTTACTTGAAAGAAAGGAGAAAGCCAGAGCTTGCAAGTTGAGCAAAGAGGAACCGGTCCCACAAAGGAAAGAAACTTCAGGAAGAACAGCCAGGGGATACAAAACCGTGTATGAACGTCCAGGTCCTGAAACAAGAAATCCTCCCAAGCCACCCTCGATGCCTGCGTGGAGGGGGTGGCCCGCTCGCACACCTCCAGCAGGGTAGCAGCCCCCTGTGTCCGTGCAAACCAGGTAGTGCCACTCTGAACTTCTGTATCTCCTCCTGATCTAGTCCCAGGTTAATAATTATTTCCTCCTGTTTAAGTTTTTAGGGTGCCCTTCTCTACTGCCATCTTCTTCCTCAATCATCTGTGAAAGTAAATAATGAGCAACCTAAGTAACCGGAGCAATAAATTTGATGTATGAGTTTGGCACTGGCTTTTGCCATACCTCAACAAACTCCACCCAGACATACAACGAATTGTTTACATTACAGCAGTGGAAAAAGCGCTGAAGAGTCAACTGTAATTCTACCAACAGTTTTCTTTTAGGCAGAAGTACAGGTCAAATTTCATGTCATACCAGCTCCTCATACTCTGCATGGTTTGCTATTTTTCAAACCTTCCGTGGCCCAATTCTTTCCACATAGGTTTCTGGTTTGGCATTTCCTTAAATTGTTCTGCCTGAAAGTACTTCTCCCCCTTCATCAAAGCACGTGGTGCACTCTCTGCTTGAGGCTGGATGATGGGTCAGTAAAAAATGTGGATCGAGAGAGTACCACTGGCATGGAAGAGTGGGGATTTTTGTGATTGCGTATTTATGGCATCTGTAGCATTTGCTACTAGTTTAAAAGTATCTCAGAGTGATTTCTTACAAAAATTAAAAAGTCTCAACAGGTTTCTGTAGTTTCCGAACTACGTATTGGGTTTGGACATAACTTTGTTTTTAAAATCTCACTGCAGTAGCAAAAGTTGAACAGATCACCCCCAGATTTTCTCTCCTTTGGAGGAGGCGCAGGTCCTTAAGGGTACTTGGCTTTTGGCAGATGCCAGTGCCAGTCCTCATGCCCCCCGGTGACAGCCGCAGCCCCCTCGCCTTGGCAGTCCTGCAGGCTGCTGGAGGCTGTAACTCTGCACAAAACCACCTCAAAGCTGCCCCAGGATCTCACATAACTTGCGGGGAATTCACTTGACTGCTCTCGAGGATGATCTTGTAGCTTTGGCGTGCTCTCGTCTGAGCGCTGCAGCCTTCTGCCTCCTCTGAACACTCTCCACCCAGAAATAACCTGCACTAAATCCCTCGTGTTCTTACGCCTGGTCTGTACAGGAGACTGCAGATTCTTGTCTCCCATGCCTCAGGTGAGAGCTGTGCCGTTGTTGTCCAGTATTTTTGAGGACATAAAGGACAGTTTGGGGGGCTGGATTTGCAATGTCAAGTGGGGCTTTGGGCGCTCTGGAGGAGAGAGGCACGGATTCCTGCAAAGCAGTTGCTTGCAGTCTTGCACCGTACCCTTTTTCCAGGGTGGATATTTTAGGCTGAGTGTTTCTTCCTAAAGGATTTCCACCAATCAACCTGCCCAGCCACCCTGAACCGCCAGCTCAGCCCTACAGACTGCCCTGGGCCTCACCGGGCTCTGAGGGGAACGGGACCGCGCTCAGCTCCGGGATCGGAACCGGATAACTGCTTTTGTGTAAAGATTAAAAATACATTGCTACACGTGGCACGGTTAATGCGTAACAAATAAGGACCAGTATTTGACACTGTCAAATGAGAACACCGTAGCTATCTGGGGGGACCGAGTGGTTTCTCCTGCAGTTACATCCCTCCCAACTTTCCTGATGGGAGCTGCGAGTTCCCTCCACGCGTTTTGCTCACTGTGGTTGAAGTGGGGCAGTGGGGGGCAGCACGCAGCAGGACGGTCTCTCTCAGGAGTGGAACGTGACACTTGAGCTGACTCCGAATAGATTGGATTAGGAGGTGGGGGAGGAGGAAGGGAAGCGTCGGCAGAGGGTGGTATTGAAGGTGTTAACCTCGTGCCTTTCTGGGGTTTGCTTTCGGATGTATATCGGGTCTTCTGAAGTTTTAGGAGCTGTAGCTCTATTCTGTTTACTGAAGGCTTTTGCTTTTGCTTTTTTTTTGGTTTTGTTTTTGTTGGGTTTTTTAAACCAACTGTCTAACTTGTCCGTTCTGAGCTGGAGCTTCCCTTTACTGTAAGCTGAGCTTTGATAAAACTGAACTTGTGCCTTAAAGAGCCAAGGGGACATTTTATTATCTGTAAGACCAGGCAGTGGTCCAGCAAAGACAAAATCCCTGAAACTTAATTCAGTGGGTTAATTAATATCCAGCCTGTTAATTGGCTTTAGATTTTTTTTAATAGTTTAAAAAAAAAAAAATAACAAACGAACTCTGAGCTAGCTATCTGGAAACTTGAGAGAGGACACGGTAGAGCCTGAGCTGTATCTTTTTGTCACAGATTGTATTGGCATCTTCTTTGGTTTCTTCCTAGGGGAAGCTTTTATTGAAAGACAGTTTCCCTTTCCCCGTTTATTCAAAAATGCCAGCTTTTTTAGTGGCAGCCGGATAAGCGAGACTCCAGTAAGACAAATCCCACATAAAGCCCTATCACAACAATCACAACTCTCACAGCAGCTGTTGGGACCACAACAGCTCCGCCCGTTTTTACCAGAAATAGGTGAAAAGGAGGACGGGGGGGGGGGTGAGATTTTGATTTATGTTTAGTAAGGTTCTTGATTAACCTAGCCAAAGCGCTGCCGGTTGCCTGACCTTGCCGCTGTAAGGGTGTGTTGTGGTGCTGCCTGTCGCTCTTCCTCTCCAAAGGGCTGTGGATCAGTTCTCTAGTTTTCGCTGCAGAACGTTCCCAAACAATAGCTGTTTTGAAGAGAGCTGCTCTGGATCATTTTCTAAGCGCGCGCCCTGTGTAACAGTTTGAGTTCAGTGTTCCCTGCAGTTAATTCTTTGGAGACAATGTGTAAACTATCAGAATTTGCTGGTGCCTAAAGACATATTCTAGAAACAATGACACGGAACGGAGCAAACGCGCCATGGAGGGGAGCTTCAGCTTTTTGAAGAAGTGTGACTCGAGTCCTCGTGCCAGTTCTTTGTTTGCTTGTAAATGAACCTCTGAATAGAAAGTGTCAGTGCTGTGTGAAAAAATGTCAGGGAGCAAAGACCGTCCGAGGCCGTTAAACGGTGGTTTTGGGGAAAGTGCCCTACGTTGGGAGGTAGAGAGCAGAACTCCCCAGGGAGGTAAGTTCCCTGCGTTAGAACCGCACAGCTCGTCCTCCTCCTTGTCCCTCCTCCGATCTCGAGAGCCCAACACGGGCGCAGCACCTGGTGGGGCTTCCTCTGATTTTTGCCCGCCGCGTTAAATCGGTTTTCCCTTTTTAACCGAAGCGAAGCCATTCCCAGCCCGCTCAACCCCCAACGTTTTCCTTTCTCACCCTGCAGAATGTGAACGGTATAAAGTACCACGCCAAGAACGGGCACAGAACGCAAATCCGCGTACGCAAACCATTCAAATGTCGCTGTGGAAAGAGTTACAAGACAGCTCAGGGCCTGCGGCACCACACAATCAATTTCCATCCCCCCGTGTCTGCTGAGATTATCAGGAAGATGCAGCAATAACGTGCTGGTCACAAACGTGCCAAGAAATCCTCACCAGCAGTTGCTGATTTTGAGAACAGCCACCTTTTTCAGGGGAAGCATTCAGCAACCCTTTCAAAAAGTTAAAATGCATGCTTTAAAAATTTTCTGTAATTTTGGAATGATGTATCTTTGTAGAGGTAATGATTTTGTACATTTGCACATGTAATCATCATACCCATTTTCATTACTTTGAGATAAGGTGCTATAAAAGCTACAGGTTCTTCAGAACATTTTTCTCCGAAACAAACAAAAAAATCGGGGGTGGGGGGTGGGGGTGGGGGGGAGTTGCATATTTAGTTGTACTGGAGCGTCGGATAGGAGCGAGAGGAGGAGAGCTTGGCACTGACATCCTTTCAAGATTGTAATGTGATGAAGACTTTCAATGCATCTGTCAATGTGTGTGCAAAACCAAAACAATACCACCCTCGTCAAACTATAGTTAACATGCCTTACATAATGGAGTTATCAGTGGAGTAGCAAGTCTTTTAGGTAATGGAAATATAAATAAGAAAGAATGTTTAACATAATATGCTAAAAATATTTTCATACTTAAATAACATACATAAAAAGGTGTGCTTGCTGTATTTTATATTATCTTGCAAATCTTTTTTTTTCCTCCCTCTTAAAATGCTGAAAATCTTGCCATTCGAACTAGTAAACAATCACCTTTAGTGTTAGCAATTACTACCTTTTTTTTTTTTTTTTTTTTTTTGTACGAGATGTCATATTATGTTCATGCCCATCAAACGTTTGAGGACCAATATCCCAGTCCAACTAAATATTTACCCCTGAAGTATCTGTTAGAAAGACACTTGGAAATACTTAAGTGCAAATTTATGTGTGTGTGAGAAACAATTATCTTCATCTCAGATGAAGTTTTAAAGCACTTTGTAGTTCTCTATTGCCAACAGATTTAATGTTTTATGTGTTGCCAATTCTTGCAACTACTGTACGAGCATGTGCCTGTGGTTGCAAATAAAAATTAAAAATTCTGCGCATGGTTTAAGGAGGTCCATTACTTGTGCTAAGGGAGTTTCTAATGCCTCTCCCTCACGTTCATTGTATTTTGAGTTTTGCTTTGCGCATTTTTCGCTTCTCGTCGTAGGTCACCGCCTTCCCTCTGGAAGTGTCTGTTTAGCTTTACAGTTAATTTTGCTGAAATACGACATATGAGCCTTACTGAAGATTAAGTGCTTCTTGCAGCAGGTGGTCAGAGACTGACTTGAAACAAAAAGCCAGCGTGAGAGCGCTCCGTGTCCGGACGGTGCCCGAGGGCGCGTTGCTCTACCCCCCGGCCGGGCACATTCTCTCCCAGGTGCTGTTGCTGGAGCTGGGCTGGCGGGAGCCCGGCCGGCCCGGGCGCCTGCCTCGGGCTGGGGAGGAACTCGCTGCGTTCAACACGGTCATTGCCTTCGCTCAGCTCCTCGTCCTTTAAGTGCAAAAGCGAGCTCAGCTAAAGGAGGAGCGAGCTTTCCCTTCGCTTTTTTTTTTTTTTTTTTTTTTTTTTTTTTTTTTTCCCAAAGCTTTAAATGCGAACTTTGTAAGGAAGGACGACAATTACCTCTTCTCCAGCAGAGTAAGAGTCTCCTTAAAACACTTAGGAACCGTCCGACGAAGGAAACGTGACTTTTTCAAATCCCAGAGAGGCGACAGTGCTCGTTAGGTCGGACGGTGCTGTCAGCCAGCTTTAAAGGATGATCCAGACATGGGAGTTACTGGGACACGAGGGGCCCCAGGTGGCCCCTTCCCACCTTCTGCAGTTTTGGCAACAGCTCTGGCCCACAAATACGTTTTGGCTCTGCTCCTGGTGCAAGAAACTCCAGGCTGGGTAAATTTGTTCAACAGCTAAACAGTCGTAAAACGTCATCGTTGCATGTAAATTCCTTTCAACTATAAAAAATGAAATTCCAGTTTCTATTTACCTATTCATTGTGACAGTATTATTAAACAGGTAAAGATGGGACTATTTTGTTATACTGTGTATAGTGAATGTATTGTACTGTGTCTGTGAAAAGTGTGCTTTAAATTATATTTTCATATGTTTTGTTGGGGACAAAGTACTTTAAGTTTGAAAGTGACAGAGGTTTGTTTTAGAACTGAAGGCAACTTAAAGAATTCTTGTCGAGAAAGCTGCTTATAAATGTAAATCAAATCACATTTAAAATAAACTGCCTCTGACCTAAAACGACTGCTCTTCACTCATTCCTAACCTAAAGAGTTAAGTTCTCAAACTGCGCGGTCTTGTATTTGTACATTTTACATTGGTATCATCAAACTCTGTATCCAGTAAACACCCGAGGCAACTTGAGCACATCGCCAGTAACGCGCAGGATCCCGCGGAACGCCACAGCCTGGAGAAAAATGGGTATTATTTTGGTTTAATTGGTCAAAAAGGATGTCAAGATTTCGTAGGCTGTTTACATCCACCATTGCAACAGGACTCCGGTTAGCAGGTAAAATTTGGACCGATGCTACAGAAGCCCCCTTCTGATGGCAGGATGGGGGGTACCATTCTTCTGAAGGTCGTCAGGAATTAAGTGGCATAACTTTATGAAAGGGGAAATCATCAAAATTTTCATTCAGCGAGGTTTTGGTGTAGGCATTTGGCTTCCCACCTGTACCTGCGGACTCAGGGGGGAGGTTGATTTAAGCACCCGGGTCAGGGTGGCTGCTCACCAGGGAAACTACTTCAGTGATTCCCTGTAGATACAGACACACATGCACACACACACACACCCCCGAGCGAGGGCCCTGCTGTGGCCCAATCAGGTTTTGAGGTTGTCCTGCCTCCGGGCAATACCAACCTCTGACATTTCATAAATATTTAATAATAACAACTGATAAGAGTTTGGTTTTGCAGCCTGTTCTGTGTTCAGATGCTGTTGAGTTAGGGTAAGAAAAAAAAACCTGACAAAATATTCTTTTAGTACTTCTATGCCTTACCTTAAACCATCTCCTGACATGAAGTTCACCGTTCGTTAAAAAACAAAAACAAAAACAATCTAAGATGTAAATGGGAAACAGGACTGACGCTGTCCTGACACTGGGGTCTGTTTGTGTCACGCGGCTTCCCGTGAATCCTGCGCGTGTTCGCAGGAGAACTGCCAGCAACAGCAGCCACTCCAAACCCCGACCCCTGAATCTTTCCAAGAGCATCAGAAATAGCTGTGAGCGACAGCTGCTTTGTCAGACAGAGCTGAAACATCCCTGGCTGTCAGCACGTGAAGCCTAAACTCACTTCAAAACGAGCAGCAGGAAAGAAGGACCACTGACTCCAGCAGTAATTTTGCTTTTAATGTAACAAGACTACTGTACAACAAGTGGAAAGCAAATTTACTTAATACAGTTAAAGTAAATATAAAATGTTGGGATATACACACGTGGTTTTACTTACTGGAAAGAAATACATAAGGTTAAAATGCAGGTTTTAAAAGCCCTAAGCCAGAAGGAACACAATTCACTGTTGTGAAAATAGAACAGTATTTTCTACTGACTGCAACTGCAACATAATGGCAACGGGTTTTTTAAACAATTACTTTCAGGCATTTAAGCACAGCAGTTTCTTTCAACTCAAAAGTCCTGCCTTAAGGTATAACGTGTGGAATTCAGCATTATCCCTTAAGGCAAACGTTCTCTATGTAAAACTGAAGTATTCGCCATTCCTTTTGTTGCAAGCATGTAATCTCACAGTACATGCATCTACATTTCAGAGAGGTACTAGAAAACTAGATTTTCATCGGGTAATTAAGGTAACTTTCTGATTTAACTGTTACTCAAAGAAAAACTACACAAATCTGCTAGGAGGAGCATCTGTTTATTACATTTTTAGTCGTGCCTCAGTGACGGTCAAGAGAAGCCACAGGTGCTTTGGTGGCTTTTTAACGTAGCAGAAGAGCATCATGAAGCTGGTCTCATTTTTTCTGAGGCTGAGTCATTCCCGTGTCCTTACAAATTCCACTATAAGTAGGGGAATAAATAGCTACTTACACAACAAGGGGGGGGGTTGTGTTTTTTTGTTTTGTTTTTTTTTTTTTTTAGTATGATGTTAGGTAGAGAGAGAAGATAACCCAAGAGCAGCTCACAGCCACGATTTATCACAGCTCCCATGAGAGTACGTTAGCTTTTAATCAGAAGTTTGCACTGATACAGAAAAGCTGCATTGTTTTTGTTCTGTAGGTGGACTACTCAGAAGTGGGGGTGTTGTTAAGTGTTCAGCTACACTGCAAAAGGGAGTATTTAATCAAAATTTAATACGTTTTGATCAAAGTGCGTCTGGACGTGCCTCTCAAAGCCTTGCTGATCGTAGTCAGGCGGGAACTGCTCGCTGCACATGGGGCACACCTTCCAGTGGCTCTCAACGTGCTCCTCAAACTTGCTCTGATCGTAGTTGGGTGGGAACATCACGTCGCAGAGAGGGCATTTCTTGTGCACATCAAAGCTTCAAGGGGAGGCGGAGAGAAAACCAAAGGGCAACAGTTATTTGATCTGTTATTGCCAAAGAAAAAAATAAAAGTAGGATCCTGTTGCGACCAAACTTAAGATCTTTACTACAAATGGAACTTTGAGCAGACTCTCTCTCTACGCAAGTATCACACAGTCCCGTTAAACATCTTTGCTGAAGCGCTCAATACAGTTCAAGTAGTTTTACACAGGAATTCCAAAATAACCTGGCGTTTTAAAAGCTGCATAATTTTGACATAATTCCAGCTACCGCTGCACTGAATACAAATCTACTGAACGCCTTAATGGCCAAGCAGTTTCATGGGAAACCACTCTCCCCGCTCATAAATGCTTGCTCTTAGCAAACATAACACTTTATAAAAGCTCTAAACTTAGGTTCACAATTAGGTTGGAAAGCGAGGAGAAAACCCCAAAGTTATTCATTCATTTACTGAAGCAATTGTCCGCGTTCGCTCAAAGTGAGGTGGAGCACAAACAGTCCTCCCCAGTCTGACAGCACAGTCTCTGTCAGTTAATCGAAAACCAAACATTCACTGAAAATGCTTAATAGTTTTGCATCTCCACCCCCCCACCCCTGAGTAAAAACCTATCTAGAAACATACCCACGTTATATAGAACATACCCACGTTATATAGAACATACCCACGTTATACAGAACACACCCACGCCATTAAAGACCAATAAAAGATTAACTTTTACCTGGAATCGAAGCAGAAACCTGTTCCGCGTTCGTGCAAGAGGAGACTTGGAGGATCAGGAGCAGAAGGTACAGCATTGTCATCATCCTATTAAAAGAAGTATTTTAAACAATATTAAACAATACCCACTAGAAACAGCTGCTTTTTCTTTTTTTTCCCTCTTTTTTCCTCCAAACGCATTTCTGTTGTCAAGCACAAACACGGGTTTTAATTCCCCTTGGGTTTTATAATCTCGGCAGCGTAAGTTTTACTTCAGTGTACAACAGGGAGACGTGGTGAATGAACGTGAGGAGCTGCACCCAGGCTGCCTTCTGGCCCCGGAGCAGAACTCCGCCCGCGCGGCGAGGACGCTGCTGCTACCACAGCAAGCTACGGAAACGCGGGTCCCCCCGCCGTTACTGCCTGGGGGCCGAGCCACAACAGAGAAACCCGTGGTAAAGTGGATGCAGGGCACCCCACTACAAACCTAACAGCGCTTTCCCGGGAGCCAAACCCCCAAAATAAATCCCAGGCGAGGATGTCAAGTCAAGGCTTTAAGAAAAGACGCTCTGGTTAAATTTCAGCGAGGGGGAAAAGGCGGCGCTGATGTTGTTTCCCACGCTTGCCTCCCGAGGGGCAGCTCGGAGGGCTGGGCCCGGCCGGGCTGCTCTCACCCCGGGGGCTGGGGGGGGATTGGGGGGGCTGCTCCCCCCGCTCCGCTCCCCGCAGCCGCAGCGGGGCCGCGTGAGGATCGCTCTGCTGGCGGACAGGCAGGTTTGCCCCGGGTTCTGTCGGGTCGGGAAGGCAGGATGGGAACACGCTCCTCCTCACTTCTCGCGGAAGGAGAGAGAAATCTGCCTGCAGTGGGAAATTCTCAAGCAAAAACAAAAAATAAAATAAAATGACAAACACCCGCAGTGACTGGATTCTGAGAGTTCCCTTCCGACAAGCAAGGGGTCAGAGAACTTAAACTTTGCAGGTCTTGGTGGTGTCTTGTTGTTTTTTGTTTTTTTGTTTTGTTTTGTTTTTTATTCTGCTATGACATTATTTAAATCTTAATTCATAATAAAGACAGTGATGTAAGCAAACACAAATTAAGGGAAGAAAACAGCACAAAAGGAAAATAAACCGAAGAAAAAAATCAGAACTGTGTTTGCCAACCCGCTCTTCATGCGGTAACAAACTACTGTACAGAACCTCAGTTCTTGTCTGCAATTAGATAACGCAGCAAACCAACCTACTCATTTCAAGGTGGGAATACAGGTAAATGCAGCAAGATTTTTGAAACTCCAACTCCTAGATAATATTCCTCTTCATCTCAAAGATCCCCTACGTGCAAGAATCGCGAATGATTTAGCTGATCTTCAAAAATGGCTGTGGAAGGGACCGTGTGTGACAGCATGTATGCTGCCTGCTTTATGCAGACAGCTAATACGTGTATTTAAATGTATTTCATTCCTAGGCCAACATACTTCATCCTTATGAAGAGTTAATGGAAACAGGGCAGGATGGGAAGATCCCTTAATATTTTTCCTGACAACAGCTGTTTAGTTTCAGCCACTTAACATTTCCATTAAGCAGACAGTGGGCCGTGCTGTGACAGATGCTAGCAGCAGCAGACCTATTTTTCCGGTCTAACTTGCTTGCTTTGCACCTGCAGTAAAAAGGGCATATGGGTATTAAAATATTATTTGTTCCTTTTGTCACGGAAGAGCTAGGATGTACGTATCGAAGAAGAAAAACTATTTAAAATACTCTTGTGCTACAATGCTACAGCTTATGTAGTGCCAAAAACAGGACAAATTTGCCCAATACTGGACTATCAACAGACCAGGACTTATATGAGAAAACGAATGTGCACCTTCCTTCAAAAAAAAAAAAAAAAAAATAGTTCCACTACAAATACAGGTCTAATTAACATTTAAAGCCTTGGAGAATACTTTTTTATAATTCTTTACTGTTTGCCATTCAGTTACTCCTTGAACACCGGGCATTTTTGTCACAGCGCTTGGTAATACCTGGTTACAAATGACAAGGCGGGGGAGGT